AACAAGGGGGAAAATCCACAACCATTGCCGCGAGGAGCAACTGTGCATAAGGAGCCCTGTAATCCCACAACCCATCGAGGAGCAACTGTGCATGAGGAAACATGTGCAAGCCCTAGCTCCCAATAGTTAGGAGACCTGTGAAGAGCCCTGCTCCATCCCAATGGCCTTGAAGGTACTCTCTCTCTCTATCTACTTCTCTTCCTCACCCTCTCCTTAAATTTCCAAGTCTTTAGGCTCTTTCTCTACCTCTCTCTCTTTCTCTCATGTGTTGCTTTAGGATCCTCTCTTTCTCTCACTAACTAGCAAGAAAACCCTCCCTTTCTCTTCTTGCCCTCTCTCTCTTGTCCTCTCTTTCTTCCTGTCTTCTCTCTTTTTCCCTCTCCCCTCTCTCTCTATGCCGCCCTAGGCCTCTTCCCACTCTCTCTCTTGCGTTGGAGCTCTACCATGCTCGCTCTTTTTGTCTAAACACGCGATCCTTACCTAGTGGCTTAAATACAGCTCTCTCTCTCTCCTCTCTAAACTGCAGAGGACATCTACCTCTGCATTTTCCATGTTCTTTCTTGCTCCAAACCTTGGTAATTCCCCATACTACTTTGAGACTCGAGACTTGCCTGAGCTTGGCCAGGGTGATTCTTAGGTTCAGAGTCATGTGGAACTCAAGAACTCCCCAATTATGCGTTGACTTTGGTGATTTGGAGTCAAGTGATCCCAAATTGACCCAATGATTTTTGAATTATTGTGGCTGTAATTTATAACTGCTTGTCGATGCATGCTACTTCTTGAGTGTGGATGCCTCATGCCTACTGGCATTTCCCCAAGGGTGAAGGGCTTCCTTTGAGAGAGAAGTCTTGGTCGATTCTTTGGATTGTATAAAGTGAGAATGCTATCTTTGTATACGAAGGTCACAAACATTGCGAGTGGTTAGATATAAATTGGATGTTTGGGTGTGTTGCTATTAGCACAAAAAAATTGAAAAAGAGGCAAGCCAATTTGGCCTTCAAAGATGTCTTTGCAAATTTATCTAAATCTAGAGTATCATTAGGCCAAATTAAACCATTTTCTCAGTATTTCTCTTTATAGAATAAGTTATTTAATGAATATTTGTTTATCATAATGTTAGTTCAATCTGAAGATGATTGATATGAAAATGGTTAGATTTTACTCCATTACATTCTTATTTGCAGAATTAATTCATCAAGAGTGAGCGAATGGCGGTGAAAATTTTGTTAGAACATTGATAATAAGATTATTTGTTGTTATTTATTACTTAATTAAATTATTAATGATGAGATTATCTGCTGTTATTTATTTACTGTATATATGAGGAAGAAGAATAAAAAGTTCAAAGATTAGTGAATGAAGCTTGGGTCTGTTGCTTCTTAATATTTAGTATGTATGAGCATATTGTTGGGTGTATTTTTTGTCAAAATATAATACTAAATACTTTCAAAGGAATATGCTGATAAGTCTAAGGGCATGACTATGAGATAAGTATTGAACGGACACCAGATCGATGTCTTGACAGACAGTGGATTACCAAGCAAGCCTAATGGATATGACTCTTGAAGATATTGGTAAGGAATACACGTGATATGATAAATGGAGTATGATGTGCCTAAGACTCATCATGTGAAGGGCCCCTATATGCCTTAAGAGTCCTAGTCATCGGTCAACTCATATATCTTGGTTAACGGCCAATGATAGTAAAGGGTATCAAACAATTTCAATTCGAGACAAACTCTAGGATATATACTCCAGAGGCCCCAATGCATCTCTCCACATGATATTAGAGGAGTTTGGATAAAGTGTGATATCCCTTTGACTTCATCGTCGGTCAAATATGTGCATCTTGGCTAACAATCAATCATGAAAAGGTATCAAGCCATCTCAATTCGAGGCAAGTTCTGTGACAAATACTCCGGAGACCACAATATGCCTCTCTACATGATATAGAAAAAGTTTGGATATGTCACGATACACTT